TGTCATTAGCGAAATATATATACTCGTCGACCCGATCTTCCTTTGATGTTTTGTCATAAAAACACCCTCTCAGTTTGGTCTGACATTGTTTCGGGAAAAGAGCCGGGCTTTGTTTCCACAACGGACGCGCGTTATTTTTGTCCCGTTCGTCCAGCGCGTGCAAAGGCGTCCAAATAGAGGCGTTTTTTTGACGTTTTGTGTGAACGGCCCTTAAGACGAAGAAGAAAAAAAATGCATTTCCATTTTTGAGACAGATTTCTCATATGTGGCTCCGCACCAGTTTTATCTGCGGTGTAATTTGTCTGTGTGTGTGTCCGTATTGAACACACCACAGAGTCACGTCACTTCACTCGCGTGTGTTTGTTTACACCCGCAGCCGTGCGCAACACTGAGATTATATTCTTTTTACTTTTGAGTTTGGATTAAAAGGACATTTATTAGTGCAGACTTGTGATGTGAGGAGGAGCCTGTGTGAGCGGTGAGTGTTGGAAATACATCGATTTTGAAGCTAGTTTAGGTTTTGTTAGCGATTAGCTGCTGTAGCTCCTGCACATAAACAGGCTGTTTTCTATTGGCCTATTGTAAAGTGACTATATTGGCCGTATATTTGTTACTGGACCTGTATTGATATGTAAATGAGCTGTGAATAGACGTGTGAATGATCCACATTTATGCATATAATTAATTACCGCGGCGCACACGTTTTTACGGCTAAAGGCTAATAGCGGTAGTTTATTTACTAGCTAGTAGTGATGGGTCGGTCGCGATCGAAGCGGCTCTTTGAAGCGAACAACGGGAGCATGTTTCTTATTGGGAACTGTGTTTTCTCTTTTTCTCACTTTTTCTCTTCAAGACGCTTGTAGATCCGTAGTTTGACAGCAGCAGCGGCTGAAAACAAAACTTTCAGAAATATGCGCGTGCACAGGATAAAAAAAAAAGTGCATATTTGGCTGCAGTTCAGCATAAAATGAATAAACCAGGACTAATCTTGAGCTCAAGTGAGGGAGAGAGATAGAAACCGAGTCCCGACACTCAGACCTGGTTAAGTTCTGGTTTAGTCCTGTTTCAGACATGGTTTAAATCTGTTTTAGTCCTGGTTTAGTCCTTTTTCAGTCCTGGTTCAGTTCTGGTTTAGTCCTGCTTGCAACAAAACAATCTCAAGAGTCGCTTGGGAGTCGAAAGAGCCAGCTGCTTTAGTGAGCCGAGCCAAAAGAGCCGGTTTTCCAAAAAAAAAAACACTGGAATACCCATCACTAGTAGCTAGAATGTGATGCAAAAATGCCATTAGGCCAATCTACTGTATGTAAATATGATGTAAAGAGGCAGAACAACAATAAATGTTGCCTAAATAAACCCAGTTTAGAATCCACTAGAGCCAAACCTAAGTTTTTTAAACAATTCAAGATTTACAGTGAATTTTTACATCACTAAATATATCGGCGAATATATCGGCTATCGGCAGCTCCAACTCCCATTATATCCATTTCATATCGGCCACAACAAAATCCATATCGGTCGGGCTCTAATTTCAATTAACCTGAAATTGCTATTTCAATAGTCACAATTAGCAAATTAGCAAAATGTATTTAGGTACTACAATGTCCTCTGTCAAGATGTAAATATTTTGTCTTATTCCTGCTAACCCTGTAGTTGTAGAATGTTAGCAATTCATATTTCATTATTTCTAAATTGATATTTTTAAAATTTAATGTTTATAGATATATAATCTTATCAGATTTTTGTCAGAAAAAATAAACACACAATACATATACATATATACATATGTGTGTGTATATATATATATATATTTTTTTTTTCTCAAAATAGTTTAACCCTACTGTTACATGAGACGTCTGGCGCTTCAGCCATAGCGACAGCCTGGTGAGTGTATCTATTCATGGCTACCTTTCACGCAACAATAGAGTGCTCCATTATTCTTAATTACAGTCAGACTACTATGACCCAAACAACAAATGATCTGAACACAGTAGGTGAGTCGTGAAGTCAAGAACGCGACATGGCTGCCACATGATGCGTATGATAAGCTAGCTCGCATTTCAGAAATGTTATCTAAAAAGTAGAATCCAAAGATAAAGGTGTATGTACATTCCAGATACAGATATTTAACTTTTTTTTCCACAAGTTACATTTTTGTAATTGCAAGCTCAAACTAAGGTTAAGACCGAAGCTATTCCAAAAACCTATCTGTGGAATATGGTGCAATTATACCATAGAACTATTCCAATTAAACAGTATACTAAAAATATAAAAAAAATAAAATAAAATCCAAATAAAAGTCAAATTATGGCTATTTTCAAAAATCTAGATGGGAATCAAGCCTTTAAAATTGTAAAAAGAAGCAAAGTTGGGTTTGAGGGTCTGTCACCAACTTGGAAATGTTAATTGCTTTGCCTGGAATATTTCACCATAGGGAATTAGCTTTATCTATCTACATGAAGACAAGTAGGTGACGCCACTTGGCCAAGTTACGGGTCAGATCGACAGAGGCAATAAGTGAATAAGTGGAATACAGTGGATTGGGAAACATTCCAGGCAAACCTTATCTCCAAACATCTCCAAAAACAGACGCAAGCAGGTGGTGGATGCTCCGTAACACAGCAAAACATTTAAATTCTAGGAATAAATAAACATTTGCGACACATGCAACACTAGTTCAAACTTTCTAACTAATACAGGCATTGCTTCTCTCCATCAGAGTCTACATTAGTATCCATTGGTGTATGTTTTATGATCATCTGCACCCTGGTAGCTTTGGCGCACCATAGTGCTTACCTGAGTCACTCTGAGCCTGGGCTCTAGCCTCCAGCACACGTCAAATCCGTTCTTTCTGCATATTCACTTCAGGCAGGAATAAAGCCTGCTCCAGGGAGATCTGAATGAATCTGGGCTTTAGACGGTTTAGATACACACCATGACTTTAGCCCATTTGTGAGCAGGGATGAAAAGTACCAGTGGAACAATAAGGGTTTGTATTCAAACATATGTACTGTTATAGAGCCATATATAACTAAGGGAGTTCTTGTGATAAGAATATGTAGATCTAGCTCCTAAGATATCTACTTGTTTTTTCCCCTCAAGGTCAGTTTCAAGTTCTTTCCAGTTTCAAGGTTTCCAGGGACTATAGCCACTAATTAGAGGCAAAACTAGGAATAGTCTGAAATAGGTATTTATGCTCAAATGTATAATTTTCCCGTTAAGTCAACCAACAAAAGCAAATTGTCGATAGCTTAAGAAATACAGTAACAAGCAATACCTAAGTAGATCTTCAGTGGTTGATTTACATCGCGAAGACTTATAAGAAGTTAAGTCTCCCATTTGATTCCTCCAAGTGTACTATGAAGGACCTAATTAGACACAAGTACCTGGTTTGATTAGCATGTGCAATCATAAACACTTGAGCTTGCAATTGTTTGGAGGTATTATGCTGAATCATGCCATTAGAAAACAAACCATGTCTCTGCCTGATAAGACTGTGTATTTAGTAAGCACAATCTAGATGACTAACAAACCTTTAGACAAATATCCATGGGTTTAGAGCAGGGGTGTGCAAACTTTTTTCAATGAGGGCTACATATTTAAACAGAAGAAGCGAAGGGCCACAGACTGGTGATCAAAGCAGTGAATCATTCGAATAGGCTGATATGCATCAGAGGTTCGACCAGGCTACCACACCTTTATTCAGTCTTGGAACCAAAATATAAGGTCTGCCTCACACCCAAACATTTGTTACTACGGTTATAAAGTGTGAAAGCAACACTGCTTATGGTAATTTGGGGGCGAATCACCAGGAAGCCTCAGGGCCAACAAAAATGGGACTGAAAGCCACATTTGGCCCCCTGAGCATAGTTCAGGCATGCCTGGTTTAGAGTGCTAAAAATTATGACTGTTGCCATAGCAATAAACATTTCAAAACAAAAGGTTTGAATGGTCAAATTCACCAATGGCATCTATAATCAGGAAAAAGTCAGTCTGTATCACTGTTAGATGTACTATGTGACTTTTTTGTAAAGGGTCTGTCACCGACTTTGATGAGACCTACCATGATGTTAGTAGTCGCATTAAACATGTCAGGTGGTGCTACAAGGCAAATTTCAGGTCAGATGAGTGGATTGGCGAACACTCTCAAAAAAATGACTGCATGTTTTTCAAGGCATGTCCTTAGCAGTAAAACCCGAGTAAATGCAACATTTGTTTAATGTCATACTGTGGAAGATTCCAGTCAAAGCAGTAGCCATCGAAACAATCAACTGCAACCAGAAAACTTATGTAGTGTATCTTTAAGATCCAGGGGTGTTGATTCTGCATCACTTTAATGAATTATTTATTTTACCAAATACAGTGGCTTTATGTTTCAAGGGAGAGAGCATTTACCCCTGAACTAGAAGACAGTCAATGTGCAATCTCGACAAACCAATGATTCCTAATTGGTTACCATGCGTTTCTTATGAGCCGCTGAGTACTGCCATTGTTTAGTATTGCTATGCACTATAAGGTGTTGAGTGAGCCTGCTGTCCTGCAGTGGGGATGCACTGGCGCTGCTGCATGGCTCTCCTCATGTTGACGTGTGTTGACACTCTTGCTGTGTAAGCTCTGGCCCCATCAGACACACTGCCTGGGGTGTGTATGTGCGTTTGTCATTGTTGTCAAAAGAGATGTGGCAACCTTGAAGAGATGCCAGCAGGCAAGGTTTTGCATTACAAGGTAAAGGTGTGCCTAGTTATAACAGAATACATGAGAGATTGGTGTTCATCCTGGCAACAAAGAAGATATCAATGTCTTTACACGATACAGTCAGATCAATGTGACCCAGACAATAGATGCAAAAACACAGACAGAAACAAAACATGGAGGTGGTGAGGGGGTAGGCGGTTGGATGGCGCTTGGGTACAGACAAAACAGCGTCATAGCTTGGACAATAACAAGCCCAGAGAAGATGGTAGGACGCTCATACAGACATGGGCAGGTGGAGGAGGCATTACCTTTCAGGGGACGAGGATTTCTCTGAGTTCACGGACATGAGCGGTGCCTGGGAGCCGCTCTCTGGCCCGGGGACCACAGGGGACGGCGGCAAAACGGCGAGCCTGGGGTGCCTTCTGAGGTGACTTCTCGCGTCTGTCTCCCCGTTCGGCTGCTGTGTCTGGGCAGAGGAAGGAGAGGGTTACTGGCACCCCCCTCCTTCTCCTCTTCCTCCTCCTCCCTCTTCCTCTTCTTGTCCTCAGCGGAGAAGAAAGGATGGAGGACACAGCTTTGCGATGAAAAGATCTCAAGTCAAATGCGTTGTTATCGGACTGGCTGTGTGTGTGGATTGGCTGACAGTAGTAGCAGTCAGGTGCCGCTCCTCATGCCCTATAACGTCCTCTCCTCCCTCCCTTTCCTTCCTTCCTTCCTTTTTCTCCTCCTTCACCTTGCGTCTCTCTCTCTCTCTCTCTCACTTTCTCTTCAGCTTCCTCTTCCTCCTCTTTTATCTTCTTCTTGGTTGGTTGGATCTTGTTTGTCAGTGATATTGTCCCCAAAAACTTCTTGTCCAATGTCTCATGTGTAAGATCTACGTCCTCGTTGCCTCTTTCCCTGTCTGCTCGGCTCCGTCAGGCCTTCTGCAGCTCTGCACAACAACAGAGCCCACAGCAAGTTGGACTGTTCCACTGTCAGTGAAAACCCAGGGGTGTCGGTTGGCTACAAAGGCAAGGAAATGGATGCCTTTCTCTTTGACTCATTCTCTCCTCCCCCTTTCTCTCTGCGCAGAATGAGCCCCTCCCATCCCCTCTCTCCATCCCTATGCCTCTCTCTCTCCTTCTCCCAATTGGCTTATTACGACATCCTGTATCTCGGGGCAACGCCGCACAGATCTGCTACCCCCCTTTTTTTCTTGCTCTATATGTAGCGACGTAGATGCTTGTCTTGTTGTAACCCAATTTTAGGGACTGTTTTGATGTTTTTTGAAGAGTGAGATATCCTGGACAGGAGAGTTGGGATGCTGGGGTTAAAGAAGATGCCAGACACAAGGGCTAGAGGAAGGAACCAAAAAGGGGGTTAATTCAGTGTAGAGAGGGTATGAAGGTATAGGTGATGGGAGAGAGGAGGATGCAGAGTAAATGCAGACCATAAATGCAGACCATAAATGGCAATAAATCATAAGAATGGAAAGATGATTCATTGTCGAAGATTGGACAAAGATAATATAGTGACAATATTCGACAAAAAAATACAGTTTTAAATCACAACAAGCTAGTCAAGTGAACTTTTGGGGTCTGTCCATATTCCCAAAGATCAGCAATAGAATTATCATTAGACATGTAATGTTAAAATGAACTGTAAATAACTGCTCATATAAAGGCAAATGATGTGAAGTAAACAACCAAGAGACTTTTTAATGCAATATTGCAATCTGTATTACATACTTAAGTGTGAGACTGCCAATCTGCATCATCAGCCCCTCCAACCAAATCCATCACTCACACACCACACACATAGTAGATACAGTGGGTGAAGTGTCATGCCTAAGGGCGCAACAATAGATTCCACTAGAGCCACTGCTGCCCCACTGTGGCACCTTGTATTCCCAGAAGTCTCCCATTCAAGTACTAACCAAGCCTGCCCCAGCTTAGCCTCAGAGATCAGATGGCCATACCATTGACAAAGTAGTATGGCCACTAACTCCACTAATTGATACTAAAAATAGTATACAAACTAGACACTAATTTTAACTAGTATCAGTGCTGAAAAAATACATAAATAAGACCAAATTTGACCTTTACTTAGGAATGCTTAGGAATAATTTTGATCAATATCAGAACAAGTATAAGGCTACATCACATTAAATCAATTACTCTTAATTCATGTTGAAAATGACAAAGTGCTTTTAACTATTCTTGTGGTATTGAAATAGATAGATCAATTTGTGTAAACACTAACAGAATCTAGTGAAGTAATTTGAAACCAAGCATTCAATTATTGACTATTCTGGGTACAATGTTTTTGCTCATAATTCACCATTCAATAACAGCTCAATAACCTGTAGATATTTTATTGATCGGTCTCTGTGTGGTATGGTTGTCACTGTATTCATCTGTGTTGTGTCACCTCTCACTTTTGGGCAGATGGGAGCTTCTACATGAGTAAACAGTGCAGGATGTAGCCATAGGGTGTAGCAGGCCACGATGGGGGTTGTCTCCTCTCTCTACATCTGACCTCAATATTGCAGCGTGGGAGTATGCTGCATGTCTATATGTGATCATGTGTGTGAAAATGCACAGCGGGCCGTACAAAGGGCACTCTGAGGTTAATGATATTGACCAGCAAATATGTACAATCAGCACAGAAATGCATTAGAGGTGTCAAAAATGGTGGAAGGAATATTATTTGCATACAATAGAAATTGGTAGATAGCAATGTTAGGGTCAATAAAAAAAAACAAAAAAAAAAAACTGTTAAAAACAGTAAGGGTTACTTTTGTTGAAAAAAAAATTAAATTAAAATTAATAAATTGAAATTTTTGTGAATTAGACCAACCACTAGGGCAACTAAATTTCAAACAGTCTAACTGAAATGCCAATTCGAGAGGCCACAATTAGCATATCACAAAGACTGCAATTAATTAAAGCCATAGTATGTAACTTTTTATGCCCAAAAATAGACTATGTTATGTTTTACCATTCTGGTTGTGTTTACTGCATTGAAAAAACATAAGAGCCTGTGTCCTTACTGTGAGCAAGCTTGCATCTCCACAAACCTGACTCTTATTTGGCCTGAGGGAGGGCCTCTTTCTGCTTGTTTCCATGGAATGGTGTTCCTTTGGCTATAATGTTCCACAGTATGGCAGAAAATGTATGAATGAATATTTAGTGCAGCAGCCTTAACAGCAAGTACAGTTTCAGATACTTAAGCTTATAGCAAATTTCAGTTGCTAGATGAGCCCTTAGATGTTATTTTTCCTGTAAGATATAATACTAATCATTGACTAGCATTTAAGCTTGAGTCTGTTGTTAAATAATAGCTCCGATATGTGTGCGCACATATTGCCACAAGTTCACATTTGTTTACATTGGCAATAAGATACAGTATGACATGACCAAATAATGAGTCCTGTAAGGGCATGGTGGCATATGAACTAAGTCTATTTATAACGACTACGTGATGTTTTGGTTGATACTTATGACCACGCTCCGTCCTGCAGAACTGCTTGTGACAGGGCACAGAAAGGGATGATGTGTTCTGTGCTGCTACCTTAGTGCAGCTCCACTTTCCCACATAAAGGAGCCGCATTAGGCACACATGTCTCCCAGCCAAAGCATTGTCCTGGTTCTCTGTGGAAATGGGCCAGTGGGGGCGACAAGAACAAGCTAGGCCACGGTGCATCCTCACAGCAAGAGGCAGCACTGAAGTAAGAGCGAGATCATTTTATTCATTCATTTATGTTTTGGGGTCACATTTGCAAAAGAAGCTGGCAGTGACTATAAGATGATTCCCCTAAGGATTGAAGTTTGAAAGGTTAAGCAACATAAAACGGTGTACTCTATTCTAAGATGTAAATGACAAAAACGTTACTTTGGAACATTCTCCATGCATATAGGTTTTGTGTCATGTTATGCAATATTACAAAAGCATTTATAAGGAGATAATGAGGAGGCCCTGTTTCAAGCCAAAAAAGCATCAGTTTTGTGGAGATGCATGCTTGAGTTTTTTAACACAATAAAAACATCCAAAATGAAAAAAAAAAAAAAAAAATATATATATATATATATATATATATATATATATATATATATATATATATATATATATATATATATATACACATACATATATATATATATATATATATATATTTTTTTTTTTTTTTTAAAGGTTACACAGTGGGCTTTAATTGTAATAGTACTCTGGAAATTGTCCTCTGCATTTGATCCATCTTTTAATGCTACTGCTGGAACACCTGGGAGCAGGATATTAGATATGAGTACCTATAGCCAGGGGGTTTAGCCTATTGTACATGTTTTAATATTGATGCCAGAACTGAAAAGCCCAAATAAAACTCCATGTACTGTTTTTCTAATAAAACACTGTAATAATTCTAACGTATTATGTAACATTGTAGGGTCAAAGCATGGTGAGGCTGACAGATGACAAAACAACTCCTAAATGACTGCAGTGTTCTGTTATAAATGGGAGAGCATCCAGGTAGAATTCCCAAAGGTGATCCATTCTACACACATTCACCACAGCTATCAGTCTGCAAATCCAAAGGCCCAATCTTATAGTTCTATTTTTGAGACTAGAAAGAGCAAAAGAATAGTGGGGGAGGGGAGGACTCTCAAGAGCAAATATTATTTTCGGAGCCAGGATTGAGGCTGGCGCGAGCTATCTTTAAGCGGCCTACTTCTCCTTACGCTGCCTGAGCCTGGTGGATGCTAAAGAGGAATTTGTAAGTGAATGAATGACATTATAAGTACATGTGATGGAAACAGCTGGTTTAAAATATGGCAAATGATAAAGGTAAATGATAAAGCTATAGTCACATATAATAAGCTAATGTGGAAAAATGTGTCATTGGAAAAGCAAGGAGGATGCTGCTTCTTATCGTTAGGCTGGTTGTAACTGCAGGTAAAACACTGCCCCCAAGTGGAATAGACATGAACTCGCACCACTTCACTTTTTTGATTTTTGAGAGACCGTACAACAAACATATTAGCTGTAACAAGTTAATCAATTAATCGCAACTAATCAATTATCAGAATTGTTGTCAACTAATTTAGTAATCGAATAACTGTTAGCTGGTTTATACATGGGCTCCAGATCTTGCTAAGCGGATGTAAGTAGTTTTATGACTCAGCCAGATCAGGAATTACGTGACACAGGAAACGTTGAAATCTAGTGTTTATGATGAAAACACTTTCGTATGTAAATATGTTCCACTAGAATCTCCTTAAGCAGTTTCTACTGAGCGTTAAATGTGTACAATTTACTAAAAATATAATATTTGTGGGTTTTTCGAGATTAAAACAACTAATCGCTTAAGGAATAATCTCTAAATTAATAATTAATAATTAGCAAAATAATTAATAATACCTGTGACATGGCCGACCTCTTAAAGCAGAGATGGAAATTAAGACTTGTACACAGTATAAAACAACTGGTAAAAATGTAATATAAAATATCTGGTATAACATTATTTGTGTCAGTGCAGCAATGAATGTTCAAGAACAGCTGGGGAATAGAAATATCCAATCAAAAATCTATAAATTACAAAATATATAAAAAAATAGAATAACAATTGTACTTAAAAATAAAGAAAAACATACATATTTACAGTGAGTGGACCCTTTTTGGGCTGGAGGAGTATTCAGTTGTCAGTGATGGGCATCAGTCTTACTTAGAAATAGAAACCCTTTAGCTAACAATCATTTACATGTCAACACACAAATTAAATGTGTTATAAGCTAAAGCATACCCATCTAATCCTTATGTCTCAAGTAACATAACAGCAAAATAAGTGAGCTGGTATTTAAACCTAATGACAAGCTAAATACAGAAATAAGTTGGATAATTGCGAGACATTTAGCTTAGTCACAGGTTCGTCTGGCAACCTTTCCTTCCTCCCACCTAAGAAATGCACTCTCCATAGTGGGTGAGTGAGTGTGCATTC